TGCAGCAATTTTGCGGCGTTCCGGGGAATGCATCAAATAAGACGAAGTTTCCTGATAATCGCATCAATGCGTTAAAGGAATTGTCTACCAGCCTGATAGATTCCACACACCATCTAGACCAAGGACGTGCTTCAAAAAGTGGCAATAAGCGAAAAAATAATCCATAAATTGCAACGAGTGAAGCGTACCCTCGTACGATTACAACAGGCTGATCAATCGACAAGAGCAAAACCGATTACAATAAAATCGATTAAGTTTGCGGAGTTGGATGTGGTAAACCTGATCAAAGAGATTTAGCAATACGCATTATTTCTTAAAAAAATCAATCACAGGTAAACAGTCAGCTGACGACGAAAAAGGCACTTTGGATCGGAGAAAATGCCACCCGGAGCAGAAGCAGCGGTAGATGTCACTCACCAATAGATCCAGTTGTTTGTGGTCCAGCTTTGCGCAACATGCGGGTCAAGCTGCGATCCCGTTTGTTTCCCACAGATGACGAACCACTTGTGTCCCACAAACAACCTGGTCGATCCAGTATGGATCGGCTGTCCAAAGGAGACTGCCCCTCAGCACCAGCAGCAATACACGGAACATGAGCAGGAGGTGCACATGCGCAAGACACATTAGCGTGATGTGCTTGAAAACAATCCGGGGACAGGATAGGGTAACAAGTAGGATGTGCTGAACGAAACGATACGTTCAACAAGTCTGGCTGAGCGTCTGGGAGACGATCAACCAGGGCTGCAATCCGATAAGGTGATGGGTATTAATCATGAAAATGTAGTACAGTCGGCACTGTGAAATGAATCGATTACCAAGCGGTTTGTCATAAAATACCTAGTTTGTAGACAAAATTGGCTCTGGCGAGAACAATAGGGAGGGAGATCCTTGCAAAGAAATATAGAAAAGGAGTTCGTGCAAATTAGGGAGTCCTCGCTAATGTCTATTTAAATCTATGTGAATCCATTGAATTTTACTCTGAGGCCTGATCTATCGTGAAATGTCATTGAAATCTTGGAGACTAAGGTGACTTATCACAGGATAAAGATCACAGCAGAACATGACCGTACAAATTTCGTGTGGCAAACGAAAGAAATCAAGGATATTACTCTTATTATGAAAATCGATGGTTCATGTGAAATGTCCCATTTTACTGTTTACCTCATTACCCTTGATCGGGATTTTGATAACCCACGTTACATTACTTTCCCTCACCTCTCTGGGTATGGTGGCTTACACCCAGTACTTGACCTCCTTTCATATCGATCAAATTTCATCCGAGGCCTGTGTAACCTGCAGTAAAGCGTACCTTCGCCGCCCCATCCTTTGCAATGCTGTCATACAGTTGACCGAAGAAGTCTTTTGTAGTAACCACATCTCTTGTTATCCAGTCACAATGGGTTCCTTTACGGATTTTCATCGCCGGTTCTAAAACTGCTTCCCGATGATGAAGGAAAGATATATATGCATGGAGAGCTCCACGATGTTAAAAGATCATAGATTCTCATCAAGGCAGAGATTCAGCCTCAAAATCGGATGCATGTCGAGGCTACTCTGTACAATAACAGCTGTCGTAAGATGTGGTCGGCGTGAAAGCAACTCTGGCACACGTGGGAGCTCCGCTCTTGACGTGGAAGAACTAAATCGACAATTTTCTGCCTTGTCTGGCTGTAATTCTCTAGGGTTCTCTAAATTCTCCGATCGAAGTTCTCCAAGTTTCGAAGTAACTTGAATCGAGTAAGACCCATACATGTAACCTATTAGCCACCGTTACATTGAAAACCAGTGCCGAAAACTTCGCAATATTCATTGCTGCGGTATTCAATTACTATATATCATCCGAAACCATTCCGGATCGCTGGATAGCCACCTGAGTCAGACCAATCCCCAAGTATCGACCGATTGCTTGTACCCCAACCGTCTCCGAATGCGTTCTGTTGAAAAGGACGACCACTCCACCTGATGTTCTCCATCTTCTTCAGTTTGTTTACAAACATTCATGTTCGACTGTTTTGATGCCACTGATCATTCTTTGGCTTCAGTTTTAGAACAGTTCATCTTATTTTCCTTCACTGTGTCAATGTGTTAGGTTCACGTGACCGACACATTCCCATCCAACATCTTGCTGACATCGGATCAGAACCTGAAGTGTTGAACGCTATAACCTATTTCTCTTTCAGAACGCCATGAACCTCGCGTAATAGTATAACTTGGTCTTCTTCTGGTGTCTTTCAGGGCAAGGTTTTGTCTTGATTCCATTTTTTCTTGTCTTTTTCTATCAAATTTACTGCTTGCAAGTGTGTTGATGTGGTAATTGGATGTCCCTCCAATGAAGAGGCACCCTTCCAACAACTTCAAGACAGTTTTTATGCTTTCAGGTTTACGAAGCTGCCCCCAAATCTAATTTTCAGATTTATGGTCGCCAGCATTTCCTCGCATTAGCTGTACTGTCCCCAGCTTGAAAGTGAAGGTTTCATGGTAATTTTCAGACCCACTAAACTCTTTTTCTCATGTAGCATTGCCAGAATTGCCCTAGTTGATGTTATTGTGTGCATGCATATCGACGCACGCGAAAGAATAACCGATGGAATCTTGGATAATGAAGACCACTGTTTGCACACAAAACTTTTTAAATCCAACACCCGCACCCATTATAAACTACTTTTGCACGAATCAACACATCAGAAACAGTGTCCCTTATTATCTTGCCCGTTTTTCAGTGAACCGGATGCCAATTAGTAAAGGTCTGGCAGAATATTTCCCAAGTTAGTTTTTTAATGATTACTTTAGTCTTCTTGCTCACAGTACTCGGTTGCTTTGTTTACCTACTCAAGGTTAGTTTTTCTTCGCTCTTTTCAGGTTTCTACTGTATTCTTGTGCAAATTGCTGAAAATTCATCCTTCGGGTACCTGAACCTTATTTTAACTCGGATTTTGACAGAAGTGACAAACCATTAGGGTTGGACAGTGTGATAAGAACTTACTGGGAAACATATTCACTGAAGATGAGTCATTCAGTCCGCCACCGCTGCGCGCTAGCCAATCATGATCAACATGAATCACGTGTTTCATATTGACTGGTGGGGAAATCATTGGGATACCACCGCGACTGCAACCCTGACGACCACTGGAATGTGGAGTCAGGGATTCTGACGAGAGAGCAAGAGAGTGTGAAGAAGTGTACGTGGCATTTGGTGGTCGTTGTGAGCCGACAGACAACTTGCACAGATCTTTAACTCTCGGCGATCCGGATACCGAAGGGATAGTACTGGCGATAGTATTGGACTTTTGTGTATTCGCCTCGCCTGTACTCCCCCAACGTCGGAATAGTCCGAGCACAAAAGGTCGCCTCCGTGGAGGTGGCGGCCTCGGATATGGTTGGCAGGGCATCTCTTTCAGTTGATTAGCTGCCAAAACAGCCAATAGCATAAACTGTTGCTGACACAAGAAAATCATAAAAACAGATAGAGGTCAACTAACCAGCCTGGCAGTGCATTGGGTCAAGAGTTCAGAAGCTGAACGAGACAATTATTAAAATGCCAGAACATTTTAAATATGTTAAAATTCTACATGCGATAGAAATGTTTGTGATAACCAACAAAGAGCACTGGGCATCTGTTTCATCCTGTATGACACTCGTCAGCAGTGTGAACATCAAGAGTACCTGGTGCCTCTGAACGATCGATTGGGCTAATCTAAGCTACTCTAAATAATGTTAAAATTCTCTCAGTAGGAAAACAAACTGTATTTGTGTCATTAGATAACCGATTACAGAAGAGTGGGCGAATCAGAGTTTTGTGATTATTCATAAATCTTATTTAGCTCAAAATAAACTATCAGTCTGAAAGTTGTCTTTACTCCAGTTTCAGTTTTTACAACTATTAACCCAGCATCCCAACGATTCAGATGAACAGGTAAGATAGTACGAAGATCTGAGCATACCGGAAAGTGGAATTCAGGAGAGGGTGATACTTTGGATCTAAAACCACAGAAGGTTGTCTTATCTAAGAAAAACGAATACATGACGGACACAGCAGTAACGGTCTGTGGGCAAAACTTTTCATGTTTCAAAAAACTTTTCGCACAGTTTCTAGTCTAATCGATGGACCTTGTCCATTAGCAGTTAACGTAAGGTGATCGAAGATCGGATGAGGTCACAGGACTCGAAGCATTGGTCTATTCTTAGGTAAAAGGTCCTGTTTCAGTGAACTTTATCAAGTACCCCACAGCGCTGTGCTTTAAACAGAATGGTGATCATCTGAGAGGAAAGGGAAGATCAGGCTTGTTTTCGGAGAGAGTAATACTTCCATGACTAGCGTAGGTGACCTCATTCACGCCAATCGGCTGGTTAATATGATGAATCGTCAAAGTCGTTGCGACCAATCGATATTTGAAATAGAAAAAGCATCTAAATAGTGCTTCATGGACTTCATCCTCTTTGATTTGATCGACATTCCAGTCTTCATTTCGCTCTTTTATCCAAATGGGCAACCAAAAGACAGCAACCAAAACCGGCGCATGAAAGTGCATGGTTAATGGTTGTAACAACTGAAATGAAATGAACTGATTTGATCGCCCATGGCCTTAATCAAATTGAGAGAAACCGTCACACCACTAACCCGTCCAGCAGCTCAGCAGTCACAACAAAAGGTAATGCATGAATGAACCAAGAAAAACAATGGTAAAAGCATAAACTTACACCCATGGTGCCCACCATTCGGTTGTAACTCTCTTCCATCAGATCGATTTGATGCGCCCGTTCAGCCAATTGACGACGTTCTCGATCCAATGATTCCCATTCATGTCGTAACTGTTCCATTTGAACAACCAAATCCTCCTCCATCACAGCCAGCTGACTTCTTGTCATGCTGGATGACAAGGTGGCTGCGGCCGACTAGTTAAACATAACAGAAGACGGTGAGGAGAGAGGCGGGATGAGACCGGGGGATGGTAGCGAAAACCAAGAAAGTCAAGGAATTATGACAGGGTTCATCAATCGCCGACAGTTAGGATGTCATGTAAAGCTGTCAAACCACTGACTGAAAACTACCCACGAAGGAAATGAAGCGACCGAAAACCACGGGTTATATGGTCATCAGCATGATTAGGCGATAGCATACGACTAGACAGATAGATGTGATCAAAACACTGCCCCATCGGCGTGGCGGTGCAAAGTTCATCCTATTCCACTTTGGTAGGATGGTTAGTAAAAACAGTTCAAAAGAACTGGGAAGACTACGGAAACAAAAAACTAATTTTCGTCAGCTTGAGATTAGTACGTTGTGTTGATAGTCCAAGGAAATGCACCACATTGTGTCTCATGCGAGATTTCTTAGCTTTCGACTGAAAAGCAAATATCATGGATTTGGTAACTAAAATGCCAAGCAATAGAGAACCCCAGAGAGTAAACAAATCACTGCTCCACGCGGAAACTATCTTGTGAATCACGTGACATATACTTGTAACTGAATAGTGCACCGAAATCGACAGATTCCATTTTGAAACAATTTTTTTAATTCAAAAGCTCTAAGGATTGAACCCTAGAATGCCAGTTGTTCTGAACTGTCAATGAGTAGGTCCCGGGAGGAAAAATTACACCAAGTCATGAAAAGTTACACCATAACGAATTTAAGCTTTGTGAGAGAAAACTATTCGCTGCCCGCGGGTTATCTACAGGGCTTCAAATGGTTTTGTGTTTCAAAGCCCACATATTATTATTCTTTTCACTACCCTATTCATTCTTTTTAATTGGTATACAGCAACAAAGTTAACCGGAGAACGAAATAACTTTGGGGAAAAACTGTGACAAGCAAATCGTCGAAAACAGACACAGATATACAAACGCACACATTCAGCCGGGGAAGAGAGCTCGCTTACCTCCTGTTCGGCTTGATGATGCGCTTGAATCGAATCGCGCCATCCGGCTTGAATCTGAGACATCTCGTCTGCGTCCATGCTTAAAAAACTGCAATAGGTGGTCAGCTGCAATCGGGAAATAATGTCCTCGAAACTGGGCCGATTGTCCGGATTGGGAGACCAACAGTCTGCAGATTGATCGATCAATCGATTTTGCATGCATAAAGAAGAACAGAAATGACAGGTAGGGTGTTTGAAAATATTGCCATTGAAACATTTTCACATACACACCCTTTTTAGACGAACAGAGAATGCATTTATGATCTGTTGCTAACAGGGGCAAAACAGAAACAGCATTGAATTACATCTAAAACCAGTACAAATTCGCAATGCCTTTTGGAAACTGTAATGAGGTGATCAATAGACAATCCATTGACAAGACATTTACCTCTTTTTTCAGTGACACGTCATAACCACGGGAATTTTCGTCTCTTTTATTCTGACTAGAATGAAGCTTCGAAGAACAGTACAGCGTACCCCAACTGTATTAGGTCATTTCGTTTTGCTACCCAGCATTCAATTACCATTGTGAATAAATCCAATACAGAAAATACATTTACATCCATAAAATGTGAATCGCGTAAAACATTCATTTGCACAGCGTTGAGATATGAATACATGAACGAGCAGTAAACATACATTCTGACTTCCATTTCAACTGGGTTTAGCGAGAATTGAAGGGATGAAAGGTAATTTCTATACAGCACATTTCAAAGATTTGATAACTCCAATGGAGATCCGAATGCGATTACTTGACTTGAATTTACCATAGAACGTTCAGGTATTCATTTCCATGGAATTCTTTTTTGTTTCTGCTGGAGGATTTCGCTCTCGCAGTTCATTCATTTCTGGTGTTCATCGAGCTAGTTTCCTGCGGTCGTATGATATTTTTATCACACTGAATCCAAAATCATCATCATTATTGAAACCTGTTTTCATACAATCGTCAGTGCGCCACACAAAACAACGAAAACGATTTTCAGTGACTTAGCCGTGTTTTCTTTTTCGTTACTAGCCTAATAAGCACAACAAGTTCGCTTAACTACCCTTAGTGCATCATGTAACTAACTAACTAACCCCTTTGATACAGCGGAGGAAGTTTTCCTCTTCCGAACCTAGGTCGATATTCATATCGCAGCTCGTCGGCATGGATCCCGTTGTAAACCGTCTTGCAATTCATACCGTTGTCTCACAAACACACCAATTTGGTCCCTCCTTGAAACGTAGACTAACTTGTTTGCGTCCTCCGTTGCAGCAGAAGACAGAACAAGAAGGAGAAAGTCACTGTCTATCAAGTCACTCCATCTAACGAAGGAACCAAATTGTCCAGGGAATCTGTACCTACATAGTTAATTACTTACACGCTTACCTACTTACTTATATGCTGACCGCATTGTTTGCTCAGTGCAGGCAGATGCAGTGATATCCGATATAAATGGATCTCAGATCACAGCATTACGTTGTCAAACGGATACCCGGTGAATATCCGCTTTTTGAACAACAATAATGAGAAAAGTACTGATGTTTGTTTCCGTCGAATTATCTAGCATTCTGAACGAATGATTGCTACAGTTCATTCCTAGTGTCACCCCTGTGATCACTACCTGTTGTCATAGCTTGTCCTCTCAGTCTGCTTGTTAACCGCGAACGTGTGAAAAAATATCCGGTGCCATGTTACATTATTTGTGTCGGTTCTTTAGGCAATGATACTTCTTCTGACAAAGTGTTTCTGCTTTAAACTCCGAAAATCGCACTATTTATCAAATGAATCGAGTGTGTTTTGCTTCGTTGACCTCTACAGTTTACTGAGCCCAAAATGGGCGAGTCACAGTTAAAGCACAACTGATTGTGGTTGCTGGGCCATTAATAAAAACAACCTAGTTACCTAGTCACCTCAACAAGTCCGACCCAAGTTGGTCAACAAATTTTGTCATTCGAATAAGCCCATGATCCGCGCCCTATGGAAAGTGCATTACTTGAAGCACATCATGACCACTGAACTCGACCCTGGTCCTAGTAACTGTGGTCACAATTGGTCGTTCAGCTATCGTCAATGCCCCAGCCACCATAGCCAGCTGCTCATTGCAATAAATAGTGCGTCTGCCTTTGGACTTATCCAGCTCAGCTGTCTCGCGCAAATCGCATGGCCTCACCGACCCATCGAATCGACATCAATCAGCGACCTCGGCAACATTTGAGATTGAGGTTTGCGTTATTTCAATATAGAATAAGTGCGGGAAGACAGGCGATGAATCCGGGGGTAGAAAAATCGTGCGATCAATTGTTCAGTGAGGTGCGCTGAACGGAACCGGATTCAACCACAGCACTGCTTTCTCAATTCAAACATGTGCATGGTTAACCGAGTATTGACCAGGTTAGTCTACTTAAGCACAACGTTTGGAAAGCCTTTTCTGTCTGAAATGAAATATAGTTGTAGGATGAGTAGATAACGCAAACTCACCTCGCAATAGTTGCGAGAACATGTCAGGTACGTCCGAAGGAATATGAAGCGTGTAATTGTACATGGCGATTATATACATCAACCGGGGCTGTTCCATTGTTCGAAAAGGAAGCTCGAGAGTCAATAATTCCCACAGAACCACACCGTATGCCCACACGTCTGATTTGAATGAAAATCCGGCCTAACGAGTGGAAAATGAAATGATTGAGAGAACTAGTATAGATAAGCGTAATGTCGCGCAAGACAAACAAATCCACGTGTTATAGCTTGGTAAGTGAGAATCGAGAATGTAGCTCCTATTCCCAAAAGGGTGACACCAAAATGCAAAAAACTACGGAGGTATCAGGTTCATCGATACTGCAGCCGAATTGCTGGTAACGATACTGCTTAACCACGTCGCAGTCACTAGAGATGCCCACACACGACTGAACTAAGAAGGAGGAGTGGCTGTATAGAACAACACTTAATTCTTTGTAGGAGCAGGTACAAGGGTCCAATTCCACTAACCGATCACGGCATATTTCACCAACTTTCGCACTGCCTTTGACTCTATCGATAGAAAACCTTTACAGTGCACACTGCGGTCCGACGGGATGCCCGATAAATTCATGAGGCTTCACAGTCAGGCAAGGTGTTACCCTATCGGTGATATTAATCAACTATACGTAGATTAGTTAATGCAACTTGCACTCATCGACTTGGAATGGCCAACCATGTAAAGCTCCAGAGGAAATAATGAAATCGCTCCAAATAGAAGTTCATCTTAAGATCGAATTCGATTTGGAAATCTTCAGTCATCAGTCGCTTCAGTATGGGAGTCAATCGATTAACTTTTATTTTTGATACTTTCAGTCAGTCATTGGTCATGGTCATAGTTGCGCCTTATCTTTTGCAACTTGGACACTATTGGTCCTTGTATTTTGACTGGCCAAGATGCCATGGCATCATAAAATTGTTTTGTACACAAATGCTGTTCCCACGTTTGTTATCAGCTTACATTGGACCCCCGTAGAGTAGGGCCTTCCAAAGTCTAAATATGGTCGGGGTTGGGTGTTGGTTGTGGCTAGTCACTCTTCCCTTGCATTCTGCAAAATGCTCTTATACGAAAAGCCCCTTCTGTGGAAGCCCCACTCCCTGCCTTTTCTTGGCGGTTTCCCCCACCACTGTGATAGAACTAAAAAACAATATCCGGGGCTAAAACCCGGCAGCCGAACCACTGACACTTCATCTAAGGGAGTCAGCTACAACATATGCTGCCTTGGGACACTAGACTTTCGCTGTGGCCGCATCTCGTTTCCTCAACTGAAACAGTTAAGTCACTGCAGAGAAAAGACATACAAACGTAATGATCTTCCGAGGGTGAAACTCTTTTCACTTGCGATAAAAGGCGACCTACATCGACTGAAAGGTATCTACAGTTGCACACTCCTGCACAACAAGACCTGTGGAGAGACCTGAAACACCTTCAAGCCATGGAGCGGACAATTCGCAATCGTATCTCGAATAACAATAGACGTTCAGGAGCTAAATGGAACATCCAATAAAGGAACCAGTAACCTTGCGACGGGATCGGTAATCGATAACACAAGCAACAATTTCAGCGGTACAGAACCCTCTACTGCTCAACAAGAGGATGTTCTGAAGGAGTCGCTAATTCCCAAACCCAAAAAACACCCGTTGGAGGCTACCATTCTTAAGGAGCGCGCTTACACATTTTCGCCAGTGCTCACAGCTTCGTTTAGGCGAGGGTGGGAAAACGGAATCACAAAGGATTGTTAGAAATCTACCTCTATCACTTTGTTGCCTAGAAGAGGAACCTCAAAATTCCATCTCGTTGCGTAAACGTCCGCTAAGTTGAAGCTTTTCGAGACGTTACTCCTTCAATGAAGTGTGTTCAATTCTTCCACCGGATCTCGCTATAACTGTATATTTGTTTGCACAACCACCCAGTGGTGTTCTGTGATGCCTTATCTCGCTCAATTTCTCGGTAACCCAGAGTGCATCGCGTCTGAACTAAATACACCCAATATCGTAAATTTTGTTTTGTCCTAGATTTCCACAACTCTGGTGTATTTCCAATTGCTTAATGGTTTTACTTTGACTGTTTGGCTGCTGGATATTCACATTTAAAATGCATAAAGCAAATACTTGACTTCACAAATGACCACAGAAAGCTGAATTCGTTTTTCACAGCACAAATGGCTGAAGCAAGTTACTGCACAATTCTAGGGCTCAGTCATTAGGAGTTTGCTTTTTTATTGAATCATTTATTGAGTGACGGATATTCACATACGGAAAAATGGCTGATCAAACGATTGCCATTTGGAGGAGAACGGTGATAGCATCAAGAATCGAGCATACGAACTCTAGGGCGACATGATAATGACAAAATCGATACCTAGAACTAAAAAATACGCTACTACATTAACCATTTAATTTAACATTATCGGTTGAGTAGATCATGTAAGCGGATTAACACGGTTGTTTTTATATATAAAAATTTGTTTACTTTTTGAATCCCCGATCCTGAGATTTTTGACCATACATCAACAATCACACAAACAGTAGTGTTGCCAATTCGCTTTATGACTCTGAGAAGCATATGCAAGAATCTAAAATCTAAGTCATTATCTTTCGGTACTAACATACAAAATCTGGAGACATCATCTGATTGACCGCATCTTTTTAACCCCAACTTATCAAATTACTGATTCATGAAAGTATTGGAGGATTTTATTGGTTTATACGATGAAGTTGTCGGATAAGTGAGATGTGAGCTGAAAAGCTAGGAAACACTGCATAGTTGCTTAGATCTGGTTGGGTCAACTAAGCACTGTGAATCCATCGACCCAATTAGAGATCGAAGCCGGGATCTCAGCGGTAGAACGCAAGCATGCAACCCACTCGACCGCCAGGCAGCTGATAAGACTATATTTCATTTTAAATTTATACGATTCAGCACAGTACATCTTTGCAAGCTTACGGTGGCCATCGCTCCTCGCTGATCTCAGGACAAACTTCCGGGGGGGGGGGGGNGGGGGTATGACTCGGTTGGAAACAATCAAAACCTGACTACTTGTAGCATGAGACCCAACCAGGTGAAAACAGGTGTACACTGAGTGCTTCCTAGCTTTTCAGTTCACGCCTCATTTACACGACGAATTCATCATATAAATTGCTAACTATTGTTCTAGCATGTGTCCAGGTTGGATGAAAACAACAACGCATTTGATAACCACCAACAAAAAGCCAATTGCATCAAGGTGTCACAAGCTCGAAGCTTGAAGCCTATGAAACTCAAAAAATATTTCCAATAGAAACGGGTCAGATGGAACATCTTTTTGGAGTTATCGTTGCCCATTATCAACAGATTCGTATTAGCTTGTAACATGGAAAAAGCCACGCAGAGTGTGGAGGGGTGTGGAACGATTCAATGGCATAATGCAGAACATTTAAAACGTTTTGTGCTCGGGTTACATACAAAGTTAGTAAAGTGGATATGCATTCCTGCTCATCCCTAAAGCAGGCGAATTAAAGAGTAGCACAGTGGTGAGATGCATCAAATGTGCGTGGGCTATTGCTCTTTTCGTTCTTGCGGTCAGTATTTGTACAAAATAGAAAATTGAACTGAAGGAGGATTTTGATTAAGGTCTTTTCGAAGTGGGAATTTTTGTTGTTTTTCGCTCGGCAGATCGCCAGTAGGCGTCTCATTTTGGACGAGATAATTGAGTATTTCCTGGTACATAAGTCTGACATTTACCGCCCCCATTGGGACAGTGTTAATAGCAACAAAAACCAAAAACGGAAGAATGCTAGGTTAATGATCGCATAAACCAAATCTGGAATTTGGTCCTACATTGAACGCTTTTGCTTCACCATTATCGTTTGCGTTACGATGGGGTCATACAATATACCTTGATCTGCATACCTTTCCGATCACGCTACACGATCTCACCGGTATTGTGCAAAAAAGATGCGACAAAACACCAGTCAGCGTAGTAAGAGAACTCAACGTAGTTCGTGTTAAAAAATGTAGGTGTCATTGCTCTGTCATCTTAGTTAAGCTTTTACAACTATTACCGTTTTTTACTACACATCATCTTCAACAAAGAGGGTGAACCCCATATTCCCGAAGACCTGGTATTCAGTGATCGAAACTGGTAACCCAAATCAAAGGAATTGGAGTGCCTCCGAAAGCCTCGGTATGATCGGGGTTGGGTGTCTCGGTTTGCGGCTGGTCACCCTTCTCTTGCACCTCGCAAAATGCGCCTATATGACCAGGAGCCTCAAAAAGCCTCTGCTGAAAATGCCCTACTCACTGAATTTTCGTGGCGGAGGTGTTTTTCCCCCAAAGTAAGAGGACGAAAAGCCAATACCTGAGGCTAAAACCCGATCGCTGAAGCACTGACACTTCACCTAAGGGAGTTGGCTAAATACCCCGATTTCAAACAGACGGAGAAGAAGCGAACGAACCACCTGATTGTGGCAGTGGATACTGGCTCGAATGGGCATCGAGGTGTATAGGGTACTTTGGACGTTCGACACCGCGCGAAAGGTTCTAAAGAGATTGTGGTTTTCACACACATCTCCCCGCTGCCTTGTGGATCAGGCTTTGGTTAGCCAAAGGCTCCGATTACGAAATCTGCAAAACATTCACTTACCTCAGTTTTGGGCAACTTGTCATTGTCGCTCCTACAAACAAATCATCAAACATTTTTTCTTTTTTCATTAAGACTATTATATATACATATATACCTATATATACATATGGTTGAAATTTCGTTTTTCTGGTCTAAATAAGGGTTCTTATCGCACAAACAAGTTCATTCATTCCACGACTGCAATATTTTCTCATGATTACGGACTTTTGAGGTAGTGTTTTCAGAGCTGCCGTTGGGTTCAGTTTGAACGTTAATCTCTCATTCCCTTTAATTTACTTCGTCTCGGGGCAGCAATTCTCAGACAGTTTTGTTTTACTGGGTTCCCTTGGTAAGGTTTTCCCGTTAGTGGTTGTTCGTAAACTCAGTATCTTGGGTCGCGTTTGCGAATGGCTTCCCTTGGTTACAGCGCGTTGAATTCATTTGCTTCATTTTTACAACATAAATCAAGACACGAACATTATGAGGAAATTATAAACGCCTTACTTGACGACAAACTTCCGGTGCGGCGTAAGCAACCGTGCCCAATTTGGACTGCTGCGGGACCAGTTCACTGGAACGACAAGCCATACCAAAATCGGTGATCACAAGTGTACAGTGGCGCAGTTGCTCTTCTTGGTAGGGATGTGTGATGGGTTCGCGGATCAGAACTGAGCAGTGCAGTTCGTGTTGGTGGTGACGGCGATAATTAGGACGATAAGGAATCGAAAAAAGGAGAGACAGCGATTCGGCTAAATTAATTAAATAAACGGCAGACTTATTGCATAACCACAATGTAACCAAGTGTGATCGGATGTGGGATTCAGTGTCAATGATGATAAACTACAGTGCAGGAGAATGAACACAGAGAGGAAAACGGTTGAAGCCAATATGCTATATAATGAATGAAATTCGCTTAGATCGTTTTGACGCATTCCATGTGAACTGAAACAGTAATCCCGCGCTCAAAGGACAACCAGTATGTAGCAAAGAACACGCAACTATATGTTAAGGAGCATATTTAAAGATTAGATATTCGTAGGGGAATAGTGATTTCGTCTTCTACACTAGCCTTCAGTGGCGCCCGGAGGTATGGTTATGGCATGATTGCCGCCGGTGTCTTCTACAAGCTTAATTGCCTGTGACACGCTCCATGGTATTCAATATGGTGGTCATATACAAAACATTAACATACACAAATCCGAAATCCAGCAACCGAAGTAGGTGGTAACCGCAGCAACAATTACCGGAAAGCTGGAATGTGGTCAAGATGATGGTTGATATTGGTTCCAAGAGATAGGAGACGCTTTACGCAGGACGAACAGAATTTCGTGGAAATATAAAC